ACAAACCATCAAGAAAGAAATGGAAGGTTTAATATGGTGCTCAAGAACAAGCACTACAAACTAATGCCATGAAAGCGAAGATACAAAAATCCACTGACAATCCAAACTGATGACTTTGCAATGACAAAGTTGAAACTGTTTCACACTTAATATGTATGCAGCAAAACCATGCAAACTGATTACAAAGCTAGACATGATCGAGTTGCTAAATTAATCCACTGATCATTGTGTAAAAAATATGCCCTACCTCTATCCGAAAAGTCATGGGAACATGAAGTGGAAAAAGTTGTCGAAAATGAGATGGTGAACATCTTGTGGGACTTTTGAATATAGACAGATAGTCATTTGGAACACAACACGCCAGATATTATGGTTGTTGAGGACCAAAGTGTACAATGTATTGATATCGCTGTACCAGGAGACGCCAGAGTCAAAGAAAAAGAACTGGAAAAAAATCATGAAATATCGCGAACTGTTCATCGAAAATACACAGTTATGGATGAAACATGTAACAGTGATACCCATTGTCATCAGGGCACTTGGTACCATGTCCAAGAATTTTACAAAACATGTCAAGAAATTGCAGCTTCCTGCAATAAATCACTAGCAGAACTGCAAAAAACTATGTTACTTTGAACATTGTATGTTTTAAGAAGATACTTGGTTGATACCTACGACGCTGGCAGCAACCCATATCAAGCATTAGCACCAGTCACTGGTATTTGTCATACATTTTTAAATGTTCAGTTGACTTGAGTTTCATGTTTAATGAATAAAAGAGATAATAATAAGTTATAAGTTATAATAAGCTATATAATAAGTGTTGTTCAGGAAGGGAATGGATGATGAATGAGCCCTAACATATCTCAGTTTTTTGTTTGTGCACTACTACTGGTTGGATGTATTACGTAATGATGATTTCAAATATAAGAAAAGCCCTACTGGATTAGGTGAAGCCCAACTTATTCTAGAACAGTGATTCTGAACCTCAACTTTGTGTAACAAATGTGTAAACTTCAACTCACAGAATACCACAGCCAACTCAACAATTAATCAATTTCAAGCAGTGAGAAGTAATCTTAGTTGACTAAATCTTTGCATTCAATGGCTGTAGAGTTTAAGTAAGCTATGATTTGACTAAAATATTCTCTACTAACTCTAGATGCTTGACCTATACTGTCCTGACCACATTTTTTATTTGGTGAAGACAAAGGGAACTTAAAATACCACTAATGCATGATTAAGAATTAATATGAACTAAAATATACAAAGTTCAAATAATAAATAAGTTAGATGCATTAAAAATAGCATATTTCTATAGGTATCAATAATTACCAGACATTCAGCAAATCAGGATCACAATTAGGCAGCTAAGATGTATTTCCATATTTTCCTGAACTGAAGTTCATTCAGTTCCATCCAAGTTGTAATATTACAACTTGAAAAGGGATTTGTCTCTCCATTTAGAGATGCCCTTGAGTCAAGCCTGAATTTTGTTAATGATATCCATGCAATTTTCTTGGCAGTTTTCTTCTTGTGGGATGTTTTTTACTTCCCAATCTAGCCAACATCACTTAAATTCCCAGATATCCAAATATTTTGAATGATATGCATTCTAATTAAATTTTTGTGAACATTTTTCTCACCTAACATATTCATTTCCATTGTCTGTCACTTTCTAGTTTTCAGCTAATAATTTGAGGTTGGGAGAAGAACTGCAAACTCTAGTCCAAACATGGCTAAATACCACTTTATATCAGGGATGGATTTTCTACCAAGAACT